TTTTTTCACAGCTGTAACTGAAAAGATAGTGCGGCACGCTCTCTGGCGGAATTGCCAAGCACTACACCCCCACACAAGATTGAACTGTGATACTTAATCTGACAATTTTGCTAATATGAAATATTATTTCAAAATTTTTACACGAATTAATTAAAACATGACTCACTGTTTAGATAACACTGCATACAAGAAAATACTTGCACATTATGATGGTTATAAAAATACACACAAAGTTATATGACTAAAATATAAATGGGTTGTTTAAGTTAAATGGATAAATAAGAAAATTAATTAAGCTATCATAATAATTAAAGCAAGTTCAAAGTAAACGTTAATAACCAATGATCATTTAACACTCATGCTGTAAGATGTACAGAAATGAAAGTCTAGTCTCTAAGTTTTCAAGTTTGTATATTAAGCGGGATAATGCATCAGCCTGGGGCATTTTTATAAATCTATTTATATACAATATTAAATATCGTTTAAAATATATGAAACTATTTGGTTTTAAAATATATTAAACTAAATAAAAAATGCAGTCCCTGGCCAAATTATTACACGCTCTATAAGATTCTAGGTAGAATCTTAATTATCAGATGATACTATACAGCTTTATTGTTTTTATGTGACTGAAACCGGTTTGGAGTTGTTTACGTTAGTGTATCAATTTGTTAAATTGGACGATATATAATATAAATTTGACGATAGAATAAATTAGGCTATATATCATATAAATATAGAACATTTATTAAATCAAGCATTATATTAGTACATTATAATAATTAGATCAAACTATTAGACGCACTGTAGTTTTTTAATAATTACATGATTTGCACGAGTTTATATGCAATTCTTTTATATTTAAACATACATGCAAAAGAGAGAGAGCATTTTTCAATTTATCATAATCATTTATCTCTTCGTCTTTGATATAAACTAAAATGTTCATACCCTTTTCACCACGAAGATTCAATGAAATTTCTCCTCTGAATTCTTAGGAAACATTTTTTGTTGTAAACGATCTTTCTAAAGACGAAAAAAATAAGCTGCTCGTTTAGGAACAGGAATAGTTAATGCTCGCACGTTTTGAATAAAATTTTCTACTGATTTCGTTTTGGACCGTTATTTCGCCTTTCGAATTTTCTCGCACACTTTCTCCAAATTTATTTTTACTTTTTCTAGATTTATTTTTTCCAGTTCAACCTGAGCTTCCGCACTTAATCGGGAGCTGTCTAACTTAGTTTTTTCTAATTCGATTAACGCTTGTTGTTCTTGATGCAATTTTCTATCCGATATTACTGATTCAAGAAATCATTGTACAAAATTTTTATCAGATTTATAATGCTAGTTAGAATTAAATCTTTTAATTTAATTACTTTCATATCTCGGAAGTTGTTACTTAAGCTAACTCTTCCGTAATAATTTTAAGATCTTCTTTAACACCTTTATACGTTTTAAAAATCTCACTATATTTACAACAGTTACATAGATAAAAGAATTAACCACTTTTACATCAGAAAATATGCCCAATAAGCCAGCCAGCCGGAACAACTCTTTCTCGTTTTATAGCTGTACCTGTTCCGCCAGAGTGCGGCACGTTCCCTGGCGGAATTGCCAAAACTACAAGGTAAAAGCAGTTAATTTACGGTTTTTCTAGCAGTTTACAGTTTGAATACTATTTTATTTATGGTTATGTGACTGTTTTGTTTGAATATGGTGAAATAACAATTAAATGAATAGTTATTTAACCATTTTTATTGAGAAATTTCTTACAGTGTATAACTTATAATCAAAGCAAATATTTTTAGATTTCAATGAATTTTAAAATCAAAGAATATGATTTTATGTTAAAAAAAAAGTGATAATGTGATTTTTAAGCAAATTCGTAAAAATATTTTTTATTTTAAACAAAAAGGGAATCTTATTTAAGCGAATTCCCTTTTGAACATTCTAAAATATCTCATTTTAAACTGTTTCTTGTTATGTTGAAATGTTATCTTTATTTTATTTTTTCTTTAACTATAATATATAATAAAAATTTTCGGAGTTCTACTTATGAAAATAAATAGATTCATTAAAATTTTAAAAAGATTTTTTTTTTAATAGAATTAAATAAAGTATAATGTACTCGTTATAGTTTAAATTAATGAAGACTCTTTTAAATATAAAATGTTTGAGAAAATTTTGAAAATATCTTATTTCTATATTACTTTTTCAACATTTATGCATTACGTGAGAATGTTTGCTTTTCTCCTTATAAATCGTTTTTCTTCTCATTTATTCCAAATTTACTTATAAAACAGTAACTGAATAAAATATTTAGTTACTGTTTAGAAATATTCACATGTTTTAGAAGTTTTATATTATCTTAATTGAAATTATCGCTTTAAACTCGGAAAGTCACGTAAAGTTTAAGACAAAAAGTTTTTAGAAAAAAAAGAAGTGTTAATACGATTAAATAAGCAGTGTTAGTAATTTTTATTTTCAACTACTTGGTTGAATTAAAAATGTTTCGGAAGAAACATGCTTTAAACTAATAACCTATTTTTTATATTTTATAACCGTCGTTGAACAGCCGATCCAACTTTTGGGTTTACGATTACTAACGTTCAACTCCATAGTCTTGTAATTTTGATTCCAATCCGGAAGACAAGGGAACTCGTGGATCAAGTATTGGGAGAAATTTTGCCTTCGTGGAGGACTTTTTTGATGAAACTAGCCCGCATTTGCGTTACATGGAGAGGAAGACAACGAGAACCTCCCACGGTTAGCCTGACGGCAAAGTAACTCTAACCCTTGATCCGTCTACCACTGAGGATATTTCACGTCTGCACTGTGATCGGTGCAAGCTGGATGCAGAATTCGTATCGCCCAGCCATCGCCGGGATCGAACCCGGTATACCTCATTCGAAGGCGAATGCTCTATCCCCTGAGCCATCGCGGATCTAATAAGCTATTTAGTTGCACCCCTAATTCTAAATATGTTTTTTTTCCTTCTTTTTTTTGCAAAACCCAAACAGATATAGAACTTTATGCATCCACATAAAATGTGAAAAAATTAAATCGTGAAAAAGTTGGACTGATCTTTAAATATTTCATTAAGAATATAGAGAAACATGAAAGAATCCATAAAATACATTCTTCAGTAACGTTAGAAATTAATTATTTTTCATCAACGGGTTAGTCTTTTTATTTCATTAAAAAAGAAATTAAAACTAATCTTTGGAAATAAAAGCTAATCTCAGATGCAGAATATACATTCAACGCATCTTAAATTAGTTTTACGATCGACTTTAAAATCTTAAGTGAACACAGTAACGTGCTGATATAGTCTTGAAACAGTGAACGACAGCGAATAAAAGAGCTGTCAAAAACCATTAAGACAATTGAGAGTAGTTTCCTTTTCAACTATGGCGATAAATAGTGAAAAATAATAGATAAAAGTAAAAAGAAATTAATGGGGGTAGAAAAGGATTCGATTTAGGTCACCCAATCCACGTTCACGATGTTATACAATTTTGTTTCAGTTTTCGTTAAACTTCAGTTTTTGGCGAAATGCCAGGTAACTCGAATTCATTTTAAATTATTAAACACCAAGAGTTCACACTGTTTAAGATTATATATAACGTCTTTAAATTTGAAAATGAGTTTAATTTGAAACATTTCCTTTTGTTTTAAAATTTAGCTCATACATTGAAAAAGTATAGTATCACACAAATTTGATATTAAATTATTGAGTACTCAGTTTAATTTTTTGCTGAATGCCAACACTGTAAAAAATCCAGGATCAAATTACGGGAAAAAAAATACTAATACTCAAGGTATCAGTACTTTTTATTGCAAAAGATATTTTACGTAAAGTTTTACAAAATAAAAAATCTGATTTACCGTAATATTTACTATAAAATCAGAGAACCAATATAATGAAATAAATATAATCGTAAAAATTGCGGTAGGAAATTTTTTGTAGAAATGTATATTACGGTAAAGGGGATTTTATGGATACTGGAATCGGGGTTGCCTGCACTTTTTACCGTAATTTGATTCGGATTTTTTTACTGAGTATGAAAAGTCTTTTAACTTCACTGTCAGAAATTTTGGGACATGTTGAACCACTGCTGCAACCTTAATAATAATAATCACAGATTATCTTACTCATTAAACACGGTATTAGGGTTCAACTCTAACGGAAACATTGTTCAATTTAGCCCCTTGTTCCGGTCGTAGCAAATTTGCTCTGAATTGTGGTTTAACATATAATCATTTTTTCTAAAAGTGGTTACTATTGACTATAAAATATTGAAGGGCTAAACCTTAAAAAATAATAAATGATTGAAAATGGTAAACAAACTCATTTTTTACAACACGATATACATATATAACTTTTCTTTTTTAATTATGTTCATATATTCTTCGTATGATTTAATTAAATTTAAGATGCATAGAAATATTTATATGCGTATGTTATCGATATTGCGAGAAGCGCCGATAAACTATAGCATACCTAGACATTTTATACACTGTAAAAATTCCGGATCAAATTACGGAAAAAAGTACCGGCACTCAGGGTGCCAGTACTCTTAACCGTGAAATGTATTTTTACCTTCAAATTTTATGATAAAAATCTGACATGCCGTAATTTTTACAGTGGTATAAAATTTTACAGATGCTGCACTCAGGGTGACAATACTTTTTACCTTAATTTCTTCACTGTTCGCCCTGTCAAAAAAAAAAAAAGTGAGAATTACCGCATACAATATTTCCTATGCATTCTGTAGCTGTTCTTTAAACTAAGCTCCTTTCAAGGCTCTTCTTTCCTCAAAAATTCAAGTAAAGAAATAACTGTTATTAATGAGGCCTAATCTCCAAGGTAATTACTGTATCTATACAATATATTTCGAAGATATTGTATTTTGATGTTAAAATTTCGAAATGCTTTTTGAATCTGACGTTTGGATTTTTGAAAAGTCTTGTTTCTTAAGCAATTTTTTTGGTTTCAGAAGTTGTGGAGATAAATTCTTCAGAATTTCCGTTTGCTCAAAGAACAAGGATGTTATTAAGAACATTCTGAAAGAGGACTTTAAGTTGTTTCTGAAACAAGCAATACTTTACAGTAGGTGGAATTTACTTCAAAATATTCTAAATAAGTATGTAATTCACATAATATCAGGAATTATCAGTCTTGTGAAGTGTACGCGCCTTTTATATATAACCGGTAATGTATGAATAATTTTTTAGAATGACTGAGGTATTTCATACTTTTCTGATTTGTCTTTTTTACATTTTGTAAAATGTCTAAGTAATGTGTGAACTGTTAAATTGTTTCATAATTCACCATCCAGTTCAATTTTTAACATTCTATTAAAAGCTGGATTTCAAACTTCGTCGGTTTCATATAGACATCATAATCTGAAAAAGGAACCAAACAATACAATTTAAAAGTTTTTTGTAGAGCAACTGAAAGGATCATTTTTAAATGGCTTTTATACCGAATTCGGAAAAAAAAAAGTCTTTTCTTCAAATCACGAAACATTTTGTTTCACAACTCACAAAATAGCTACGCTTAATCTTCTTTTTTTTTCTTTCTAAAACAGGACGCACGTGTAATTCAGTCAAAATCAGTTAAAATTTTACTTACCGAATAAAAAGTATCCCAAGTGAGTGTAATCAAATAATATTTCTTAATTTAGCTCGCAGAGATTTTTAAAAGTAGGAAGAGCAATGAAAAGTAAAAAGTGCTTTTCATCGTTGAAACTAGCACACCAAATATTACGAAAATCAGTTTACCTAAAACAAAATTTTATCAATGTATGGAAGTAATAAATACACAAACTAAAAAGTTATGATGAAAAAAACAGGAAAAGTTATTTGAAATTTTTTCTCGTTCAACTGACTTTATTGTATAGTATTTAAATACAGGCGATATCGTTAAATATGAAAACGAATAATTTAAAGGCAACTTCTTTTCAAAGTACTTCTTTTCCGGGTTTAGGTGAACAATAACCAGCTTAAATCGTTTAATGTGAGCTACTAAAAAAAAAAAAAACAATAGTACAATACCACAATAGTACAAGCGCAATCTATACCCTTCGTTCTAATTTTTTAAATACGAGTACCTTTTTTTTTATTTTATGCATTACGTGTGAAAATATATGTATGCTACACTACGCGCACTGTCTGTAAGTGAAAACCCCTAATACTTTCGAATGGAATATGGTGCATATTTTTGTATTCGCATCCTGCATCGATTGTTGTCGAATAAGAAACCGATTTTAATCCTTCATTTCATGATGCCTTGTCATCTTTTATTCAAAAAGAGTCTATCTATGTTCCAACTAGTTCTCCGCGGAATCGATAAAGTTTTATTATCTTTCGGGGAATTTCTAATAACGGCGAAAGAAATTATTCACCGTTTGCTTTCATTTCTATTCTTAAATTACATAAAAAAATGAGAAATGTGAGAGATTGGGAAGGTGTAACGGAAATTAAATGTCTTCAATTTTTTTCTTCTTATCATTTCTCGAAAATAGATAGTAAAAAGCTTCAATTTTTTTTCCCATTCTGTTTTGGTACCTATAGGGGATAAATAATTTCATTTCCAACATGATAAGACTATTTTTTTTTACGTGGCTTCTGTTACTTTTCTACCAACAGTAATCTGTCGACATTTGTGTAAATTCTTCGAAATTAAAATTGACTTCAGTTCATTTTTTGCTTGAATGATACATTATTTAAACTTTTAACTCATCATATTTTATTATTAAGCAAAATTTTAAATCAGAGAATATAGTTTCATCTTTTATTTCGTATAAGAAAGAAAATAACACGTTTCAAGCCAAGAATTAACGTACAAAAATATTTGTAAGTGTATTTCTGACTAATGTTTTTCTTTTAATTTGTTTATTCATTTCGGAAGAAAAAAAAATCAGCTGCTTTTTTCATGATTTGAAAGTTGAATTTGTCCTCCTTCAGTTTCATTAATGTCTTACTGCAGATGTGAATTATCCTTCCACAATTCATCAAGATAGTTTGGAATTTTTTTTCCCTGTAAACTACTGTTCTTTTTATACTGAGAAAAAAAGTATGGTCCATATTGCTAAATTATGGCGAAACTTACTATGTTTTTGGTTTTATTGGAGCACCAAAAAAGCTCGCTAATTTTTAGCGCTTTGGTAATGATTTTGGTAAACTTAACAATAAAGTGGTAGAATTTGGTAATAACCTTTGAGCATGAAGAAGAAGAAGGAAGATCAATACTAAGATCAACCACAAAATCTTATTTAAGGCGATAGATAAAATCATTTTTGCAAAAATTTTCATTGTTTATTTATATTTTTTGCTTATGACTTTTTGCATATTCCTTTATGTCCCACTGCAGTTGAATTATCTTTTCACGTTTCATTAGGAAAATTAATCACAATTACCACGTTTCATTAGGTATCCTTTTTGTAAAGCTTCTTTCTGACAAATTGTTCAAATCATGCAGTCAAAAAGTTAAAATATTGGCATTTAAGGAGCCTCTTAATTACCTCTCAACAAAAAGTATTGTCTAAGATGGGCTTAACTAAATCCCTACATTTACGTATAACATTTACGAGCTCCCATCTGTTGTAAAAATGGTATATAATTATCGAAAAAGTGTTGTTTTGTATGATAAATGAGCTAAAAAATCTGTAATAGATCCACCCCCACAAAAGCTACCTTACGAATTCTTCCCTATAACAAAAGGAAGCCATTCCTAGTTTACTGAAAACAACTGTTTATATAGTGTGTGTCCCCGTGACAGAATAGCGGCAACATGGCGACATTGTCGCAGAACTCTACAGGGTTCTTGCAGAAAGACTTTTCTTTAGAGAAGTAAAAATTTTGATTTGCTTTTCTGCAGAAATTTACACGTAAAATTTTGAATCGAGCATTTAAATAATCATTTTTTGATCCAATATTTCATAAATTTATTTAAAAAATTACTCCTTGAATTACTCATACAGCTTTAAAATTAAACGTTTTTTTTTAAAAAATCTAATAAAAATAGATAATAATTTTTAAAAAAAGAATTTCATATTTAAAAAAAAGAACTATATTAACAAAAAGCTACCATTAAGCAAATTGCTATTTTTCAACATATGCTATCAAAATTAGGGAAAAAAGTTAAAAAGTTCACAAAAATTTATTTAACTTATTAAGCATATTCCGTATAGTGTTCCTCTATTTATAGACATATTATAGCAGCCTAAATGCTTCTTGCGAAAGGCTTTTGCTGCTCCCTTTAAAGGATGCGAATGCATTGATTTGAATGCCAATTTAAACTGTTGGGAAAAAACCCAGCAAATCTCAAACTTTTCTTCTCAAAAAAATCTGCTCACTCCCGGAATTGAACCGGGTATTTTTCACCCTTTACAACTCTAAGTACTGCACATTACTTCAAATAAAGTATTATTTAAAGTTCGTAAAATAAAAGGGTTATTTTTGAGCAAAACAATAGTGAAAATCGTGATGTTTCTTTATACTGGTGCCCTAATGAGATGTTGAAAATTATTTTCTTGTCTTATCGGAAATCTAATTAACGAGGCCTTCTAAACGGTTCTCTGAATTTACTATAATGTGTATCTATCTATAGATCAGAGTTTATTGAATGATTTATTGAAGAAAAGAAGAAAGAATATCGATAAATTATGTCATTAAAAACTCTTCATGGAAAACCCGTGAACTACTTTCGGCAATGCACTTAGCACTTGATTGAATATTCTTAAATCGATGGCCATCATCTTTTCGTTCAATGCCTACATTTTTGTCACAAAATCTACTTTTAGTTTTCTATTTAGACAGAGCTGGAAGAAGGAAGACAAAATCGATTTTAATTCTTACTGGTCGAACGACCCCACAGGCAAAGAATATCTTCCATGACAAAATTGGTTTTGGTGATTGTTTGAAGCATCTGTTCATCATCAGAGAACTTTGGAAATGAAATATTTTATTTTAACTGATAAGATGTTTTATGAATTATTTAGCTTAATCCGTACAGATAATAAAATAAGAAGATTGTGTGTGTTTGGTAATTTGTGAGCAGTGTCTCTTAGAGAGAAGAAAATGTGGAACCACAAACTGAAGAGGTGGATTAACTGTCCGCCAATTTCAACTTTGTGCTAATTTAAAATTTGCCTAGTTTCAAGTTTGCGTTCGTTTTTTATTCATACGATTTGCATTTTACTTATATATTGTTTTAGAGAGCACTAATGCGGTAAGTTTAGAAAAATTTCTACCTTTAAAAGTATCATAGCAAATATTTCCCGACTTTTTTTTTATTCTGAACACATACTGGTCAATGAATTAGGAACTTGGGAGAATTTCTCTTGCCTGTTTCGCACTATACAAGGAGTCTGATGGGAGTATCGGGATTCCAGACACGTTCTGTTTGTATGGAAGTGGCACCTTGGTATTTTTCAGGGGTAAACGAAAAGCATGTAGAACCTGAATACTTTTGCAAATGAAATTCATCTTAGAATTATTACTATGAAGGTGATGGATACTTCATGGAAGATGCCAAAAACGTTAAAAAATAATTAGTTCAATGAACTTAATCTGATTTCCAACTCCTCCCTCTGTCACAGCAAAATCTGGATCTTAACCTAATAAAAATAGTTGGAGCATGTTTCAACACAGTCCATTCTTCCATTTAATTTATGGGATCTTGAAGTCTAATGTATGGTATTCTTTGGTCAAAAATGAACTCCATAAATTTATAGAATTGATTCTTTTACGAATATGGGATGTTTTCCATGAAAAGAAAAAAGGAGATCCAAAAATATTAATCTTAGGTTTCTATTTTATCAGTGTGTGGATAAAAAGTGGTTTTGTGGAAAAAATGGTATAATAAAACTAAGTGGTCGACTGCCATTTTATTTCAAAAAGATCTTAAAAGTCAAGGATCATTAATGTAACCAAAGATCATTGATATAATCTTTGGATTCTACTAGATAAATGAAAATACCGAAACCTATAAAAATATGACCGGTAAAAATAACTGCACTTAAAATGACACTGCCATAAATATTGACACCAGTTTGAACACATTTTAGAAAGTAGCGAGTTCATTCACGATTTTTATTTCTTTGT